GATTTATTTTTTGTTACATAAAGGTATACTCAGTTACATATTAACTTACATACAATTATGTTTGCAAATAATACCGGTTGCATAGCGATTGTTTCTTCTAAAATTGATCTTCGAAATTTATCCAAATGGTAAACGCTAGTTAGTACCGTATGTGCCGTATGGCTTTTGAAAGCTGTCAACGTAAGGATAATAAACGCTTTTGGTCGTTATAAAGGCGGCGCCGTTGTGTCGTGCAATTGCCTTGTGTTATCTATTGAATTTTTTTTTAAATAGAATCAAGCCCCCTTTTCTTAAATATATTAATTTTAATAAGAAATACCAATAATTTAATTCTATCATTTTTCAACGGATACGCAGTAACAACATTTCAGAAGTTTTGTTTTGAAGCCACGATAGAAAAATGCAAACAAAATTCGGGAGCTAGCCGTAAAGATATTGTTCATTTTTAATTTTACGAAAGCGATAAGAACAATCAAAGCCGACACGAAAGGTAATCGAAATGAAATTAATTTATAAATTTTAGCTGTAATTTCCCCCCTATAATTTCTTCCTTTTCAGTTGCATGGAAAATTGCTAGAGCAAAATCTCCTCATACAACAGGAGAAAAGTTGGTTAAGCCAGCAGCCGTTGAAATGGCCAGAATAATGTGCGGTGAGGCCGTTGCTAATAAACAGGCAATGGTTTCGTCAGACAACACCATCAATAGATGAATAGAAGAACTATCAGTCGATATTTTACAACAGACTATTACTGCTGTAAAGCGAAGTGGAAAATTTAGCCTGCAGTTGGATGAGACAACCGATATAGGGAACGATGCACAACTTATGGTGTTTGTACGTTGTCATGCTGCTGATGACTATGTGGAATATTTCCTATATTGTCGTCTGCTTTCAAAAATTACCACGGAAGAAGAAATATTTAAAAAAAAAAAGTGGATTCTTTTTTTCAAGAGCATCAGCTTTCGTGGACTGACCCTATGTCTGCTTGTGCTGATGGTGTTCCATCAATGATGGGAATTAAAAAAGGCTTTATGAGTTTCATGAAAAGAAAATAATGACATTTTAGTTGTTCATTGTTATATTTACAGAGAAAACTTGGCAGCGGAATAGATTCAAGAAAACCTGGCCTCAGTGTTCCAGTAGGTCGTATCGTAGGTTATGTATTGTTAATTACATAAAATCCCGACCCTTGGGCACTCGTTCATTTCGTGACGTAATGGGAGCTGAAACGGTGGATTTTTGTGTCATGCGAACGTCCGTTGGCTATCGCGAGGAAAAGTGCTGGAAAAAGTAGCTAACTTACGCAGTGAAGTCGGTGCTTTTTTAAAAGAACAGAAGCATGAACTTTTAAAGCGATTCAGCGATAACGAGTGAGTTGGAGGTTGTTATTCTTAGCTGATTTCTTCAATCATAAACCAAATACCTCTATGCAAGGATTAAACAAAATATTTTTGGATGTGTCAGAGGGCATTGTCGCATTTAAAGCTAGAATGGAATTGTGGGTGCAACGAATGGAACATGGAAAGATAGCCGAGTTACCGATTTTCAACGCATTTGTGGAAGAAGAATTCATTTTCCACAACATCCGTCCAATATTTCTCGAGCATCTTTTTTCATTTCTTTTCGAGTTGGATAGATATATATATCGCTTCGCACGATTACAGCCGAACGTTTAAATGGGTTAGATGTCCTTTTAAGGTGTCAGCAGCCCCACAGGTTCACCCAGAAACGGACTGCATTGCTGAACAGCTGGTTGAACTGCAAAGTCGACAGCTATGGAGAAACAAATTAAAAATGTTTCTCTCACACACTTTTGGACGGAACTACAAATAAGAGAACCAAATCTATGTGATCTTTGTTGGCAGGCAACAAAAGCTCTTTTACCCTTTCCAACAACTTATCTTTGCGAAACTGGAATTTCAGCCCTTACTATGATAAAAGCCAAGCAACCAGAAGATGACATTAGATGTGCATTGACGAATATATACCCTGATTTCGACAAACTAGTGGTGCAAGTTCAGAGACAAGATTCCCATTGGAATTTGTAAGTGTGGGTAATCAACTGACTTCGTTAAAAAAAAATTTTTTTTTGTATTTATTGCGTCTTCACGCAGAGTTCGGTACCACAATTCACGCGCCTTGAGTCCGCAAAGACTTCCGCTGGTGAGAACTAGTCCGCGATCAAAAAAAGTTGGAAGAAACGCTGGTAGGTTTTCCATATCATTGTGGGTAGATTACGGGCACCAAAATTAGCTGTAAATCCTATTAAAATATCCCCTATTGATCCTTGCTTCAAATAATGGAAATCGTTGAACTCATTAGAATACTTGCACTTTGATGATTTAACGACAGTACAGTTGGTTGTTGAATTAACGCATGGTTCATACTTAATATATATATATCATAACTATGACATAATACTTTTTTTTTCTATCTGAACTAGTGAAGTGAGACGCAAATCGGTGGTGAATCACCTGCCTCCGTTAAAAAAAAGTGTTGTAAAAGTATATATCGAATCGAAAACTGCCATACTGAAAACTGGGACATTTAGGTCTACCGCCGGGACGGAGGTAAAACTTGCTAAAACCGGGACTGTCTCGGCTAAACCGGGACATATGGTAAGCCCAGCTGTCACCAGTCGAGAACTTGTAAAAAACTGTATAGAATCGTTGCCGTAAGGTCAGGCGTATGAGTTTACTTGTCACAAATTGCCCCGAGAATTGATAATATGTGTAGGGAAAAGCAACCTCATCCATGACATTAATATATATCATTTGTATTGTGAGTGAAACATAATTATTCCTCGTTGGTTAGGCTCAGAAATTGATACTAAATAGGTGGGGTCCGTATAAAATAGGATTCACAAACAGGGGTCCGCGGCCCGGAAGTTTGGGAAACTCTGCTTTAGACCAGTGGTTCTCAACCGCCGGTCCGCGGCAAGTTTGCTGCCAGTCCGCCAAATATTTTTTCAATATTAATTTATTATAAGCAAATTGCAAAATACAATGTATTGACGTCATGTCCGTTAGTTTTATGATTATTTTTTTTAACTCATATTGATTCGTAGACCGGTATTCGTCTAACAACCAAACTTGGTGAGATGTCCTCTGCCCATTTCAAACCCTGAACGGTTGGATGTTCGTTAAGTCTATGGCCTCATAACGGCGGCTAACGTCCTAACGGAGGAGTTTGATAGCACACAGCTAGGGTTTTGTTTTTTAGCAATTCTAAAAAAACACCGTTTTAAAACAAGGGCTTGTTTTTTGTTTTTATTGAAATATCCCTTGCATCGCCGTGAAACTACGCCAGAACGTTGCGTTCTGGCAGCCGCATAAGCTGCCGGAATTATATTTTCAAAAATGTAAGTAAAAATTCTTGCTTTGACTTTCACTTCTATTGCGTACACCTACTGCCAAGTTTGTATCTATACCAAAGTCATACGATTTTAACAGGAATATTTATTCGAGATACCAGAGAGACGTTTTGAGTAAGAAAAATCATGAAACTTATTTAATTAATGGCAGCCTTCGGTAAAACAAGTGCGGTACGATAAGGAAGAATATACTTACATCGGCGGCAACCTGATTGAAACGATGAGTCAGGCTATGCTTATTGTAAGACACGTTTGGTGCAGTGATGTCAAAACTAATCTGTTATGACCCCATAATAAGGATTTTGAGTTTACGTATTGACATTTTTCTCATAAAATAAAGGCATTATTACGGTTAAAACTGTTCGGTTGATTCATGCCTAGCATACTTTGTTCTTAAGGTTAAAGTGATAGATTTTTCAAAGTTATACAAACTCATTTATTCAGTCGTATTTCAATTTTTGCAAGGTCGTTCTCGTCGCAGGGTCGTTATCGGTATCATGTAATATCGTCTTATTTATCGCTTGCGTCTTCCTGCGCCAACCACGTTTGCTGACGCATTGAACTAAAGCTTGAGAAGGCTTGTATGGGCCTTCGTCGATATTTGTGGCGTTTCGAGGGATTTATTGCAAATAAGAAGCGCTTGGCATGTTTTTACATTCATTTTTCTTTAACACATTTAAAACAAAAAAATCGGAACTCCCGGAGTATGTGAACGAAGATAGCGGACCAGAACGTAGTATGTGTACCAGGTTGGGGTTAGGCCATAATTTTAGGTACAAATACTATGGAAGTTACTTGGCTAGAAAAAATGGAATAAAATTATTCCCTAACCTTAATCTGGTACACATACTACGTTCCGGTGTCCGTCATCTTGGTCCACATACTACGAGAGCGCCTGCAAATAGCACAGCCATTTTAAACAAAACAGGCAAAAAATGGATTTAAAACAATTGTTTAAAAAATATTGTTTTTGAACAAATCCCTACACACAATACGGTACCTGATTGAGAACTTCGCAGTTCGCACGTTCCGTAATTTAACAGTAGGCTTATATTTAGCGAGGTTTGATAGTAAAATGGAGACAAATACACAGCAAAGTATTATCCAGTTCTTCCAAAAGAAACCCAGCGGTGAAAACCAAGTTAGTGGTGTTGACAGGACAGATGAAGAGATCGCTACATCAACTTTACAACATGCTCCGAAACGACCTTTCAGGAAAGTTGATACGGATCTGGTATGATAAGAAGTATTTGGAGCTAGGTTTTACCATTGCTCCCAGCAGCAAAAAAGTACCGCTCCCCATGTGCAAAGTCTGCGCCAAAATTCTTCCAAACGATGCAATAAAACTCGCAAAGCCAACGAAAAAAATACTATCAAAAAGACAGCCGCAAATTTCTCATTAGATTGGATTGTATTCTTTTGCACCTTCTACTTTTGTGGTAATTGCATTCTTTTGATTATGTTTTGTGTTCATGACATTTTTGGTTAATTTTGAAAGTCCGCCGGTCCGCGAAATTTGTTTTGAAATTTTACCGGTCCGCGAACTGAAAAAGGTTGAGAACCACTGCTTTAGACAGAGGATAGTAAAAAAATATGACAGTCATATCTTCTTTAAATATGCATATAGATTAAACTGATGGATGTTTTATTGCGGATTATATAAAACACAATTTTTAATAAATGAGATAACTTACAATTTGGACTGTGTGCTTGTGTAAAATCGATTACTCGCTCGCTATTATCAAAGAATTAGAAGTTGCAACGGGCAACGGCTATCAGTGAATCCATAAAACTGATTTTTCTTTTTCATCAAAGAATTAGACGTAATGCACACAGGAGTTTATATTGCATGAAAAGAACAATACGAGTCTTCTATAAATACAACTTGCAAGCAGTTAACGTTTATGGCATGATAAGATTCTACGGATGAAGGGCGCAGCCAGGATTCGGACATTCCCAAGCAACGGCTTTTGAGACGGCCGAGAATTAAAAAATGTCTCTTCATATTAATTTAATTGTTTTCAAGGTAACTCTCCCTGTTGTGTTCGCTTACGATAAAATAGGAGCATTACTTCCAAATACCACGGCAATCTGCGGACATAAAAATGTGAGATAAAATGCCGGATATTATTTCATTTTGATATTTTTGCCATCTTGCGAAAATGTCATGCGTGAGGAAAACACAAGATCTGCTATAAAATCCCAGAATATACAATAACGTTTAGTACAATAAAAAAACATACAACCTATATTAGTATATCAATAATACATTCTAATCGCCTCAAAAACCCCGCGGAACGGCTTCACGCTAACGAAAAATAATGGCGATTTACCGAAATACAATCGCACGCATTATTACCGACTTTTCATCCTTACAAAAATTTAAAAAGGTGGGGGTGGGAGGGTCGACCATGAAACCCCCCTGGCTGCGCCACTGCTGCAGATAGTAAAATAACAAAAAAACATGCAATTCAAAGAAACGGAGACTGACCACAATAGAACTGCCAAATAATCCTGTTATTTTATAGGGACACCATCAGGGCCAAACTTATGCACTCTTGCATTTTCTTTGATCCATGGATGATTCATCACACCCTTCAGTGACAATCGCTGGTGTGGAATATATCGCAGTAATCTTCGAATTAAATCTCTTGCTCCTTCAGAGACATGAGAAGGGAAATCATACTGGCACTGAAAAAACACATTGTGATTAAAAAATGAACAAATCTTTTTATGATATTCATAATATCAATTTTATGATAGATTTTTCAAACCAAGGTAATATCAATTTTATGAAAGATTTTTCAAACCAAGGTATCAAGACATCGAAAACATTCTTATTATCAATAAATTATTATATTGCGGTATTCGGTATACCAAGCGGGCAAGCTCCCAATTCCACATGCCTGCATAATAAGATGTAAAGCGAGGGTCTGAGCTTTTTGATCGGCCGAAAGAAATGATTCTCAAGTGTCACTTTCTCAGAAGTTTCAGAGCAGTTATGTTCAAAACTTACTTAGCTTAAAAATCCAACAAAGAGTACTGAGATTTACTAAATAAAAAATGAATATATTCGTTTATTATAGGGTTCATCAAGTTTTCGAAAGATTGTCACAACTCTTGTCACAATCACTTGCACTCTTTTTACAAAGCTGTTAATTAGTTGTCAAGAATTGCAAAAAAAAATATTGTTCTTACATTTCGGATTCTTCTATAAGTATCTTCATTCGAAGCAGATTCAAATGGCGGTTTCCCAACCAAAAATTCGTAGCAGAGAACACCTAGGGACCATAAGTCTACAGTCTCATCATGTGGCTTTGCTTCAACCATCTCTGGTGGTAAATAGTCCAATGTACCACAAAGAGTTTGCCTCCTGGATTAAAAAAAAAATTGTTATGCCTGAAATTGGTGATTTTTTGCATAATCCAACTCCTAGAAACCAATTTACCTGGAAGAAGGTGCATGAACAGACCAGCCAAAATCTCCAATTTTGAGTTCCCCTCGCAAACCCATCAGTAGATTTTCCGGCTTGATATCCCTATGTATGACATTTTTGCCATGGCAATAATTCAGAGCATCTGCCAATTCTGCAATGTACTGAAAAAGAAAAATCAAAATAAATTATGTATATTGTTACTGGATATTGCTAAGCTGGCTGAATTAACCAGATGTCACTTCTTACGGTTCTTATTGGACCATCGCCACACATTTTGTTTGAAATGAGGTGAAATTTTTCCATATCGACGCATGAAATCCGAATTGGGCTAAGTCCATTTTTCTAGTTTTGAGAAAAACGCAAAAAACGTTTTTTTTTTGTTTCTTTTTTTTATTTCTCTAATACCTTACATCGAGGATGTCTAGTTTTTATGGTCCACCAAAGTGACAATGAAGGCCATATTTAATTTGTATAAAAAAATTTGTGCTCTGCCCCAATTTTTTTTGGGGATGTTTTTTTTGGACTTAACCCCTTTTGACTCTCAATTTTCTGGACCAGAAACAATTTTATTGGACTTAGGGCCTCTTTATTATGTTATTTTAGAGGCTGGTATGGACTTAGCGCTTTGTATTATATTTTTTGAGAGGAGCTATGTCCAAAAAACGGACTTAGCCCCAACTTACAATGCAGTTATCCAGAGCTAAGTCCACTATAGTAGACACAGCTCTGTTTAGTTCTCAAAGGCCCTAAAAAAAGCAGGGTTATGTCCATAGCTGTCTTGAGATATAGAGCACCTAGAGATAAGGCAAATAGACCAAAATGTAGAGCTAAGTCCACGAAAATCAGCAATTGAAAAATGTCATTTTTTGGAAAAGTGGACTTAGCACTGTTTGGTTTTGAGGTGTCGATATGGCCTACAAATTGAACCATAATATCATTCTTAACTGTGAGGCCCTATGAATATTTCAATAATTTATCAAGAACCCTAGGCCATCTATCTGATCTTAGCCATTGAGCATGCTGACCTTTCAATATCAAATACTCACTGTTGCAGTGTCAGTCTCCGAAAATCTTCCCTTTTTTGTCAGTTCTTTGTACATTTCCCCCCGGGCAGCAAATTCTAGGATCAGATACACTCTCTTCTCATCATGGAAGTAGCCATATAATTTGAGAATATGAGGATGCCTGTCATGTAAAAGACCTGTTTTCATGGATTCGGGATATAACCTAGTTAAAACACATAAATGTACCAATAATTCTGAAATATTGAACTCACGACCAATATCATAGTTCTTGTCAGCAGTAAAAAAATTAACAGAAATAAATTATTAAATTTGTCCGAGAAAAATTCCTAAATTCAATAATCCAGGTAACGCAAGAAGTGGATAAACACAGATGAACAAGGAAGAGCGGCATTTCAATCACTTTACCTGAGATGAGCTTGTATTTCAACCTCTCGTCTAAGCTGATGTTCAACATTGCTTTTGATCAGTTGCGACTTAAACAACACCTGAAAGACAAGTTCACAATATTCCGTTCAGCATATGTTGTGCTACACATTCTATATCAATATGAGGATTATATTTCTCAGACAATGTATATGTATGTAAATATATGGAATTTCAGCTTGATCGTCTCTGTTTATTAAATCCAGGGCTGGGGAGCTGATTCGAAATCACAGTATGTTCAAACTGAGGCTCCAGTGCTTTATTTTTTATGTCAGAGCAGGGTTCCAGCTCTGGCTCAATCGCCCATTGAGGCTTTTATGTGTAACTGTGATCACTACCATAAAATATCTGCCCAAATGCAGTTTCGTGGTAGCGGGACTCAAAACTATGATATAGGTGCATTGAGATAATGTTAAAAATAGCAAAACTACCGGTAAACTTTGGGAAATCAAAGTTTTAATTATATGAATTCCACTTTCAAATTAATATTATAAATTGAGATCAAGGCGAAAAGAACGGATTTTAATATTCATATCAAGTATCGAAAAATTATAAATGTTAACAAATAATTAAGTGGTTGGGCTGGGCAAAATATTCAAATAACAAATAGAAAATTGAATATTAAAATGACATTTTACTTCACAAATGACTTTGCAGACTTTTTATTTAATACGAAAATAACACAGACATGTAAAATCATAAAAAGTCAACTCTAGTCTTCCTAAATATCTGCATCCCGACGTTAGTTGTAATAATACTGTTTGCCTGAAATTGGCCCGGTTCATTTACAAATGGTGATAAGAAGGAAGATCAAAGCCAACGCAAACAATAACAAATCAGAATAAAATTAGTTTGGGTTCTGAATTAACTTCTTAATAATAGTCTGTAGCCGATGTGAAAAAGCAGAAATATAAAAACCAAATTTTATTAATGTCCGCCGTTGCATAAGAATTGATACTCATGAAAAAATAGAACGTGCTGGTACTATATAGCTTGACAACATCAGGATGTCGGCCGCCAAAACGATTGTAGTGACATATAGTAATCAACGATAAAAATATTCATTATCCGTTGAAAATATTCAATGCGAAACATATTTCACCCCAGTTAGGAGCCGGAGACGCCCGGGGTCACTAAAATATCTGTTGCTGCGGCAACCCAGATTGAATCATAACAATTTTAAAAAATTTCCAAAATCTGGGACTGGCATATGTTAACTAAATTGAGGTGATCTCTCAACCATATTTGCAAATACCAACCTTTAATGCCACAACGAATTTGCTCTCCTTTTCCCTTGCCAGATATACATTTCCAAACTTGCCCTTGCCAAGAGGTTTACCAATATCAAAGTTATCCAAAGACCAATGCCTGAAAATCAATACAAGTGTGGTTTACTAAAAGGAATGGATTATATTTTGCAATGCCCTTATAAATATATGATAAATATTGCCATGAAAATATCATGGTAACTACTTATACAGTCAAATCACTGAGGTTCCAATTACGAGGTGGAAGAAAGTGTAGTCATTGATACAATAAAATTTATCAAATAGATATTTGAAATTTCAGAGCAATGAAACTTCACTTATTATTAATGAAGCTCAATATTGTACTGGTTTATAAATCGCATGTATGGTTCCCAATGGTAATGTAACATCCCAACGGTCACAACAGAACATGTTTGAGATATTATTAAAGGTTTGGTAATGGAGTGAATATATAAACATCTAGTCTGGCAATCCCTGATAAATAAACTCCTGTTTTGCACAGAATTAATAAATTACATTCCAACTATGAACCAAAAAGCTTCAAACATAAATAAAATACAGGACCAAGTGACTTCAGAAAATTAGGAAATACCAATAAATCACTGCATTTAACTTTTAGCTTCCGTATTTTAATGTGCAAGTTAGAGCAAATTGCCAGTGACACAAACCCAATATTTTAATCTATTTTCGAAATATCTGACTGTTTCATTCAGCTGCCATTTTGGGTAGATTTCTTACTTCTTAGTAGGAAACAAGGTAGGAAACAAGGTATAGGGTTGGTTATTTCATATCATGAAACCCCATTGACGAGCTAGCTAGGAATTCACAGAAGCCAGATGAAATCTAAGAAAACAAATTGGAAATCAACTGAAACGCTACAGGTACCTACACATGGTCTCACAGAACACATGAGACAGCAGTTAACAAATGTCCTGTGACTAGTATCTATGCTTTTAACGACCTACTTCTTTTGTTGGACATTACGGACACTTCTTCTTTCTGGAGCTGCGGAATTTACTGGTCGTAGCGGAGGTCTCATGCAGCTTGGCTAAATACAGAAATAAAATAAGTGCAATTATCAGATTAATATACAACAGTCGTTCTCAAATTGGGGTCCGCGCAGGAATATCAGGGGGGCAAAGCGCCCTCAGTTTTTGTGTTATAAGCTAATGTCGTAATTTGTATTTTCTTCTTCTTCTGAACGTTACAACTGTACAACACAGCAACAAACAGATCCCAGTTTCGCCTATAGCAGTGTAGACTATATCCGTATAATCAGAGTATAACACAAGCAAAATACAGAAAAAAGTCACTTATATTGATTTATAAACCAGAGTGAACAATAAAGAAAAACATTTAATGTTAATAAAAAGATATCGCCAAGCTGAATATAGTTGGAGTCAAATTGCCCAACCAAAAGTTGACAGAGTTGGGTGCATGATGTGGTGGACTAACGTCTAAACTCAAACCAGTTGTCGGCAACTTTTTGTCGCTCGCGGGCCAAAAAAAGGGTCGTAAGTCAGTAAGTCATTGGCGGGCCGCACATATTTTCAGAAAGTTGAAAAACGAACGGATGATATTTTTTATATTAAAAAACAAGCAGTGATTCATCTTTCGAATAGAATATAGGCTACATTTATTTCCTCATTGCATTGTATCTCATAAAATTGAATCATCCATTTGAATATTTGTGGCGTCATTAAACTTAGTATGAACTTTTCTGAGTTTTCCTGCCATTTGTCTAATTATAATTAAATGTTATGTTCATCAAACGAGGAATTGTGAATTTTATACTTGTTAAATTTATAATTTAGTCTACACATGTCTCTCAATAAATTCAGTTACTTAGTGAATATTAACGTCAAAACAGCTATTTTGGGGTCTGGTATAGTTTAGTACCACATCCACTTATAGTTGGCCTGGCTCAACAATTTTTGCATATGTCAATCCTAACCCCTGAACCCCCACGTGACTACGTCACCAAAAAATTACATCATTCTGACGTCACAGTGGCATGATAAGACCCACCGAAGTATGCGGATGGTCATTCAAAACGTGCAGACGATCACCCGAAATCAAGCAAGCTATTTTCCTCGTTTTCTCGTCGCGAGATCGCCGGCTTTGGCAAGTTCGTTATCGGCGGCGCAGATGCCATTTCGGGCGATCGTAATTATACTTTGGCAATCCCTATGACGTGATGGTGACGTCGTAGTGACGTAATTTTTGAATGGCATAGTCATATGGGGGTTAGGAATAACATATGCAAAAATCGTTACCGGTACGCTACGCCGACTGGAAGTAGCCTACTTGTGGTACCGGTACTAAACTATACTAGACCCCTATTTTGTTACTATAATTCCAGAATTCAGCGAAGCGTCGCAGGCCGGAATATATCACTCCGCGGGCCGTAGGTTGCCGACCTCTGGTTTAAACGTTAGAACACTTCCTTCACCACATCCTGACATCCGCGGGTAACAGGGTAAAGACTAAGTAAACCACACCACAGAACCAAACATAAACAAGATAATTTATGCTTACCGAAAGATGTGACTTCGGTCCGTTCATTTGTAACGAATTCTACTTAAATCAGTGTTAAAGACGATGGATAAAGTTACGTCAAACATAAAATGCAACGATAATACAGTAAAACGACCGGACCAGTTCCTGCAAGAAAAAGCGCACAATAATTTGAATTGTGTGACGAGAAATGCTTCTGCCAATCACATCTGCACACTTGAGGCGCGATTCTCGTCGCACACGAATGGATTGCAAAACCAATGACATTTTTGATTTTATAGCATTTCTCACAACCACCACTGAAGACTACTTGTGTAAAAGTGCTTATAGGAAAATAATACTGAAAAAGTTTGTTCCCCCAAGTATGTATAAATCATTTTGGGAAGAATCATTTAATATTTCCAATGTGAAGTGGGACAGCTACTTCAAAATTTCCTTTTCATCAACTATTGAAACAAAAATTAAGGTCTTTCCAAATTAAACTTTTTAAAATATATAGTTCTAAACTATACATTACACGGCTTTGGACTAGTAGATACTAATATGTGTAAATTTTGTAAGCATACTATTGAAACTTTATTACATTTGTTTTATTATTGTCCCATAACAAGTCAATTTTGGTCTGAGGTAGACCAATGGATAGTTTTTAAAACAGAGGATATGAATTTTTGTCTCAGTATAAAAGTATGTTTCATAGGGTTTGATGATATTCCTAATTTGCAATTTGTCAACTGTGTATTATTGGCTGCCCGTTTCTATATATATAGATGCCGAACTTAGAAGCACAAACCGATATTTGATGTGTTTTTTGAATTTTTATGTGATATTCGTTATAGTGAAAAATATGCAGCATTAAAAAATGGCAAACTCCACATATATAGAAAAAAATTAAATTTATTTAAAGATTGCAGTAATTTTATAAAGCATAGGTTCTCAAAGTGCTCCGTGCGGAGCCCCAGGGCTCCGTGAAAGAAACCTAGGGGCTCCACAAACTAATCGATTATTGATCGGCTAATTTTGTAACTGTCCAAAGAAGCAATAACAACATTAATGAAATTTGACAACTGTGGCATCAAAATATGGCAATATTGCGGCAATTCAATTATATATGACATTATCTATAAGCAGCAGTGCAGCCAGGATTTTTAAATAGAGAGCCGGTTTAAATTTGGAATCGAATATTTATATTGTCTTGTCAAATTTATTTATATGTGTTTATTGTTACCCGCCTTTTGAGTTGAGATTACTGTTACGATAAATGAAATGAAATATTATTATTCTCAAATGACATCAAACACGTGCTAAACTGACGACTTAAATAGACTGAAATCATATTTTCGCAATATTTTGATTCGTTGAATTTGTGTTGTTTTTTCAGCCATCAAGATTATTTTTAAGCAAAATATCGCCTTTCCGAAAATCCCAGGGTCGGCGTAAAATCTCAATGAGTACAATTTATAATTAAGCAGTTCATGACCGATCATTGTTCATTGGTTTAATTGTGTTGGATGTAACTGTGGTTGAGTCGACTTACGACTATATAAAATCATTACTTATCAAAACTGCCTCGAGTTTGCTAGAACAAAACTTATGTCCGTTCCGTTTTAGGTTTTAGTTTTAATATTTTATAATGCCACTTTTCAATCAAGAAATTTGGGTTGCGGATCCACCTCTTTATCAATTATTTTTATCATCTCGTCGTCGATAATTATATATATATATACTATATATATATATATAAATATATATATACTAACTTGTTTTTCACACTGAACTCACAATTTCGCACGAGAACAAAAAAGTAATTAATTATGGTCGTGGAAAGCCTTAATATCAGGGCCGGATTATGTTTTATGATTCTCTAGGCCCTAAGCAACAGATTATATATAGAAATGGATATTAATGAAACTGGTGTTTTGTCTAAATAAGACTTTCGGAGCTCTCGTTAGTTTCTATTTTCAGTGCCTGAATGGATGGGCTTTTTTTTCTTTTCCTCCTGAACTGCCTTTTTTTCCATCTCTGCTCTCCTTGGGGTGCTCTCACGCCTGACCCTTTTTCCTCCCCAACTGCTCGCTCGTCTTGACATCTTTCGCTCGCTATCGAGTTCCTGGGTGGATTTTTTTTCACTTTTCGCTTTTTATCGGGTCCTGAACCCTTTTCCTCCCTCCTCAATTGCTCGCTATCTCTCTCCATTCTTATTTATTTCCTTTTCATCTCTGCTCTCTCCTTGGCTTGACCCTTTTCCCCCTCTCTCGTCTTGGCTCTATCCATGTCTTTCCGCCTCGATGTTTTTTCGCTTTTTATCGGGGTCGCTCTTTAAACCTGAGCCTCGATAACGTTTCCTCCACACGTTCCTGGGTGGGATTTTCACTTTTCGCTTTTTATCGGGTCCTGAACCCTGAACTCCCTCCTCAATTGCTCGCTATCAGCTCTCTCTCCCATTTATTTCCTTTTCATCTCTGCTTGGGCTGCTTGGCTGCTTTCGCTTGACCCTTTTTCCCCTCTCTCCCTCTTGTCTTGGGCCTTTCCGCCTCGCTCTTGGCAATCCATGTCTTTCCGCCTCGCTCTCTCTTGTCTCCCCTATTAACCCGAACCCTGAGTGGCCACCCCGCTGAACGATTTTCGCTCAAGCTGGCTCCTTCCTATTTATTTCCTTTTCATCTCTGCTCTCCTTGGCTGCTTCCCCCTCTGAACTTTTTTGCTCGCAATTCTCCCTTGTCCCCTACGCTTTGGCCATCCCGCTGATTGATTTTCGCTCACTCTCATGCTGGCTCTTATCGCTTGACCCTTTCCCCCTCTCTCGTCTTGGCTCTATCCATGTCTTTCCGCATCGACGTTTTTTCGCTTTTTATCGGGTCGCTCTTTAAACCTGAGCCTCGATGACGTTTCCTCTCCTGGCTGGGATTTTCACTTTTCGCTTTTTATCGGGTCCTGAACCCTGAACCCTCCTCAATTGCTCGCTATCAGCTCTCTCTCCCATTTATTTCCTTTTCATCTCTGCTTGGGCTGCTTGCGCTTGACCCTTTCCCCCCTCTCTCCCTCTTGTCTTGGCCTTTCCGCCTCGCTCTCTCTTGTCTCCCCTATTAACCCGAACCCTGAGTGGCCATCCCGCTGAACGATTTTCACTCAAGCTGGCTCCTTCCTATTTATTTCCCTTTCATCTCTGCTCTCCTTGGCTGCTTCCCTTGTCCCCTACGCTTTGGCCATCCCGCTGATTGATTTTCGCTCACTCTCATGCTGGCTCTTATTTATTTCCTTTTTCATCTCTGCTCTCCTCCTTTGCTGCTGCTCTAGCCTATTTATGAATGATGGATGACTCTTCACTCTCTTGTCTCCCCATTTATTACAACCCCACCCTGAATGGCCATCCCGGCTGATCGATTTTTGCTCACTCACACGCTATTTATTTTTCATCTCTGCTCTCCTTGGCTGCTCCCTCTGAACTTTTTTGCTCGCTATCCTCCCTCTCCCTAATCCTCCACCCTCCCTAATCGCTTGGCCACCCCGCTGATCGATTTTCGCTCACTGGGCTCCTATTTTATTTTTCTTTTCATCTCTGCTCTCCTTGATATCTTTCGGCCTCACTTCACTCTCTCTCGTCTCCATTTTTAACTCCACCCTGCTGGTCTCTGTCGCTTCGATGACACTTCACTCTCTCTCGTCTCCATTTTCAACCCCACCCTGCTGATCGCTCCAACTCCACCCTGCTGATCGCTTGGCCCATCCCGCTGATCGATTTTCGCTCACTCCCATGCTGGCTCCTATTTATTTTCCTTTTCATCTCTGCTCTCCTTGGCTGCTGCTCTTGCCTGACCCTTTACCCCCTCAACTGCTCTGGTCTTGATATCTTACGCCTGGATGACTCTCTCTTGTCTCCATTTTTACTCCACCTTTGACCCTTATCGATTGGCCATCCCGCCGATCGATTTTCGCTGACTCCCATGCTGGCTCCTATTTATTTCCTTTTCATCTCTGCTCTCCTTGGCTGCTGCTCTCGCCTGCCTCTTTCCCCCTCGACTGTGTGCCTTGTCTGATGGTCCACCCCTACAACTCACTCCACCATGTGGGGTTCGAACCACGATCCTAATGTTTGATCATGTCCCAACGCTCCCCTGAGCTATCGCTACTGTCGAGGATAGGGTGGATTAAAATCTTACTTAATTAACGACGTCACACTTGACAGCCTATGACGAGTCTAATCGCCTACAGAACTGATGGCGCACAACCTGAACCCCAACCTGGTACACATACTATGTTAAGGTTGTGCGCCATCTTGGTGCACATAATTCGGGAGCTCCCAAATTATATTGATTCGAAGCATGTGTATTCATACCTCAATCGAAAGCGTTCATCTGGGACTATCGTGTGCGCTGCTTTAACTGTTGAATGCGTGAATATCCCGTTTTAATACTGTTGTTCATTTTAGTTTAGTTTTTAAGAAAAATGCTAAGATAATTCAAACTAGTGAATGTGCAAAACAAATTTCTGACTGTCAGTGGAGGAATACTAATTTAATCTATTTGTCTCTTGTGCTAACTAGCCCCTCGTATCTTGGTTAACTTTTCTTAATTTATAAAACATCTCAGATCAAAATTGGCGATGCGTTATGCCCTTTTATAGATTGAAACGATATCATACACACTAAAAAATGAAAAAAAAAACGTAAATTTTGTCTAAAGAGCCCCACGACATGTGAAACATGCTACCCCAGGACACTAAAGATGAAATGTAGTAAATTGCGCGTGCTATGCGCACCTTTCTATTCATTCTGATACTACGTCGTGGCCACGCGTCATATTTCCCGTGATTCAGATGAAATTTCAGCTAATCAATGTGAAGGCTATGGTCAATTAATCTTCCATTGTATTATAAGTGCATGCATTGGGGTTTGTATGATAAAATTTTGGACCTCCTGAAGTATGCGCACCAAGATGTCGCATAACTTGAACCCTAACCTGGTACACAACCTGAGTTCAGATTGTGCGCCATCTTGGTGCGCATACTTCAGAGGTCCAAAATTTCTGTGGTGCCCCGTTTTCCTTTGCTCCCTAAGCACGTGCTTATTTTGCCTACTAGACAAGCCAGCACATCTCAATATATATATATATATATGAAATTTAGCATCATTTATGGCTTTTATTTATCATATATATTATGAAAGGTTTAGCTTTTGAATTGGGTATATAAAGTAATTTCAACTTATCCATAAACATTAATCGTCAAGTAACAATGTTTTTTTTTTTTTTTTAATTTATTGTGGGCTCCGTGAATAATAATCAACTACTTCAACGGCTCCGTAATACCAAAAGTTTGAGATAATTGTAATTATATTATTATAACTATTGTATTAACTAATAATTTATTTTTTATTTATATGTATAGGGTCGTCTGGGATGACATTGTTATTGAATTATAGATAGGATGAAAGAGTATTTATTAATATTGTATACTGCAATGATTTTTTTTTATAAAAATCCAAATGGACGGCATGCATAGAATGAGAGAGATTTATTATTTGTCAACCAGAAAAAAACATAAATACATTGATAATAATAATAAATATAAAGCAATACGCATAACGTTTCTTCGGTATGGACTGGAGGGAATGATTTGGCATGACTTTGTTATGTATCACTGTGTTGTATTATTTCTTGATTGATACTGTTTATTGCAATTTTATTGCAATATTGTTTTATTTTATGAGAATCAATAAAAAAAACACATTGACATCAATTGTTTAATGTCATTGGCAAAACATACCAAAGGGGCAGTTTAACCTACACATTTGGGGTTTCAATCAATCAATCAATTTTATGTTGGTCACTCTGATTGTTTGCAATGACAATGAGTTTGGATAAGATTTTCATACTCGTCTAAAAAAGAAAATCCGACTGGACCTGCGAGATTCGACGACAAGCCTGTTCGCGACTAATAAGATGCGACAGCCATCATTTACTCATGAATCATGCAAAAAAACTATCAAACTAGCACGATATAACATTACAAATTGGGAAACCTTCAATCGCACATTCCATAACCCAACATTCACGCACACAGATAGAGCACAAAAAGATAAAAATATTTTTATAGAAATAACTCAAGACCACCTTTGTCATACCTTTTAAAAATATTAACTTAACACATTTATGATTAACACTTTTTAGGTTTAGCAATTTGAATCATCATATTATTTTATCGAATTAGGTCATCCAAGCAATTCTGTCGTTTATATTATTTATTTTAGTCTAACTTTTGCAATTCCCACAAATTTCTGGCATTTTGGAAGAGAATTACCTGCAATTATCCAAATGTTGAATTTTTGGCGCTCCAGAAGTAGGCTATGTGTACCGATATGAAGGTAACTAATTTTGTTTGCCTACTTTACATCAAGTTGTGTAAATGGACTGAAACCTATAGGCAGAAGGTATATTCACTTGGCTAATATAGACAGTCCCCGAGGGGGTCGTAAATATTTTGTAAATCATAAAAATTGGTTATGTATTTGGCAAACGATCTACACCAGGGAGTTCCGAAAGTTGATTGATCGCGGACCAAAAATTGAAGCAAAAGAATATTCGCGGGCCAAAAAAGGGGAGCGGCGAAAAGGGCACGACGGCACGACTGGGGTTCAGGGCGCGCTCAAGCGCCCGGAGAAAATTTTGAAACATAGGAACTAAAATAAACTGCAAGATCGATTTTAGATACACCTAGCATCGGAGTTTCTTATGTAATAAAATTAATAATTACATAGTTAGGTGATAGAATACCCGAGGAATAAATAACAAGCACGGTTTTAACAATAAATTTGCAACCGATAGTGACTAATGAAGTTACTTGCTGAACTAGCATGCGGCTCCGTATAAATGGCTTCTTGTGGCTTGTTTTGTTAGGTTCATAGGAAAAGTTACTTTTCACATCAGGAGAAATGTTTTCCAAAACTTGCAGCATATATTCGCGGAAAAATTCCCCTTTAACAAACGGGCGATTCTTTTCGATGTTGCGGGCTACAATATAACTGGCCAAAAACGTAGATTCACTTTCATTTGATATTTCTTTGAACATGTTTGTTTGACCTTTGTATGAATTTAGCAATGAATTAAATTTTGATATACGCGCGTCAACTGATCATAATCTGAAGAATGCTTCGTCTTATAATGAAGGTTAATGTTGTATTCCTCCAGAACTGGAATATTTCGTTGGCCTGAAAGACAAATCGCTGAAGTTTGATTCTATTCAATAAAGAAATAAGAACGCTGCCATCCATCTAAAATACATCTGTTTTCAGTGTCTATTTTTCGTTTTGTGACATCTTTGAGCTTTCCTAATATACGGCTGAACTTAAAATACTGTCGTATGTAATACTAATGCTGGTACGTATACAAAAGATACCGGTGTAATTGAATCGAAATACTCGTGCTTAAACTGTGATAATGGTGTAACAATTGGCGGCATCTAAATCGCAAAAAGTTAAACACAAAAAATGTCAAAACGTATTAGTATTTATTTGCAGTTAAAGTTCAACCGTTTAATTATTTCACTTAAGTTCGGCGGTCCATTTTAAGTCGTTACGCGTGCCGTAATTGACCCGCAGTTTGGGAACTGCTGATCTACACTGATACCTATGCCATATTCTATATATTTAAATACAAGTATACTTGAGTTGGAAATTACAGTGTGGAATCGCACCTCAAAATTCGGGGAGTGTTTTTAGGGAGGGGGTGTTCACCCTTTATAGAGGGGTGTAGGGAAATCACTGAGCGCATCACACAGAGAACGACGGAGATGGACAAACTTGTATATCTTGCTTGATTTTAACCAGAAACTACGAGAAGTATGACATGATGCTGTTCAGAAATTTAAAAAAATCTCATTTTCACTAAACCAAAATGCAATTTTTGCTGCCTTAGTCGTCGAAATAAATATGGTGGAAAATAATGGCCACGGTATAAAGTGGAGCCAATAGGCTACGTTGAAAAGCATATGCTTACATCCCAGGTAAGTACTCCTAGCTAAAACTGTTTATCAATATAAAACAGAAATTGAAGCTTTCTCACATGCTTGCTTGTAAACAGTTTCCGATGGACTTTGTGTTGGTGACTTTATTTGGCCTTTGCATTTACTCTAATTCTTAAACTGTAATTGAATTATTTCACTATTATCAGGTATATATATATACTTGTCTGAATCGCTGAATTGAAAATCAATATTGTTTCAAAATGTTTTTTTTTGTAACAATACAAATGAACAATTGCACAAGGGACATCACACAATCACATAGGGGCATTTCATAACTTACACATATGCACATATATCCTATTGTAGATGTTTACATGTGTTTAAAACAATGAAGAAACTATCACAATGAAACTATGTTTCATACATATAGACATCATCTCCCATTGTTTTAGTTTATTTTACAGTCAGTAGTTTATTTTATCACATGCCGAAAGTACACAATGGGCAAATATAATTAAAGTAAAAAAAGCGTTTCAGTGTGAAGGGAGACGCGATAAACCAGTGTTGGTTATTGAGCAGCGTCACTTATGAGGGAGTGAGTCTAACATTGAATCATTATGAAAAAAAGTCAAATATAAAATACTAACAAAAGCCAGGCTTTGAGATACATTTAAGCGACCCGGTAACTCATTGTCACTCTAGTTAATAGAAGAAAACGACTCCAGCTGCTTATTACCATCTTATTACATGAATAAAAGGTATATATATATTTGCAGCGGAAAGACTATGAGAGTTATACCAGAGACAAGATTAAGCGACGTTGGATGCCAGTTACCACCATTGTTTTTGTTTATCGTATGACGGTTGTTCTTATGGTGATAAACAAAACATAACCAAGTTTCCTACATTCTAGACATTTTAAACTGATTAGTATGTTTCAGGAAATCTTGGAAAATTTGAATAAAAAAGGAAAATTGAGACTAAAAACAAAAAATGCTACATGACCTGTGTAGTTAGGCGAGATGTTCCTGTTACACGTCGGGTGCCTTGGCAAATGTTAAAATGAGCAGTTCATTCAAATATTTGCTTTTAATGAATCTTATGTTCTTAGTTGAAGCGCATTCTGCACTCTCAATTCCAAATTGATTGTTCATCCCTATGTCGGGCGTAACATAAACCGCAAACCGCAAAATTGCATTAGTTATTCGGTAATGTGCTTCGTGAGAAGTGGTATATAGACAAGTTTTTTCTCAAATTTTTTATGAGGGGGGGGGGTTATGATTGGGTGAAAACTGGTTAAAAATTTCCCACGGCCCACTCACAAACGGGAATATTGCTACCACGGCTCGGATAGATCAATCTGAAAAACACCTTTAGTAGATATTTAGCTCGAATTTCTCTTGAAAACAACTGTAAAAATTACATTTGTCCACATCAACGGAAATAAAAGAGCGACATAGAGCATACAGAGAAATATTCGGTTGTAGAGCAATAGTTAACTTTAAATAACAATGTTCATTGATAATTGTGGGAGCACAAACTTGGGACCTCGCTCGCGTTGGTGACCAAAATAGCAGGGGTCTCCAATTCAAAACATGTCGCGGGCCACTTTTTGAAATTTATTGGCCACGCGGGCCGCAAACCAAGAAATTAGGTACAAAAATGAGTATGAAAGGTAGTATGAAAAGTAGTTGCAGCCCCCTGCTCTAGAGGGTCTTGGTTCATTCGCCGTGGTAAAACATAGCTCGCACCACTGTCCAAAACAATACGAATAATCGCAGCCATGGAAATAGATGCCATTCTCAAGCCATTTTTTGTGGCATCACTGAGCAGCATTTTCTGGTGATTAACTTCTTCCACTAATGGCCGACTGTATGCCTTTTCTTCCCAATATCCAGGTATTTTAGAAAATCTTTCTCAAGCCATACTGATCTTTTATCATAGATGTTGTAAAAAGGCTGAATTTTCTCTTGTCACTGTCTTGATCATGCACATGGAGATGCATACAAGTGTAGCAGATGTTGGGTCGTGTACCAGCATAAAAATACAATATTTCACATTGAGAGCTGATATATCTGTATTGATACAATACCAAAAATAAATTCAACAAAAATTCAACTAAAAAGAAGTATATCTGACTAAATGCAAATATATCTCACCTTAATTTCAAGGAAATTCTGCCATCATCTTCTATTTCTGGAACACTTTTGGGAATCCATGAACTTTTTGTGGAAACAATATCATATCCCAAACTCGGGGTGAGATCAACCAAGTTTTTGAGTAGGATTGAAATTGCCGGTGATATTGTGGGAGAATAAACTCCAGCGAAAGCGCAAGAAAAGGAAAATTGTTTTTGGTCAAATTGGCAAATTAGAAGGCTCATTTCCGACGTCGCCTGTAAACTGTGATTAAAATAGTATGTGAAATGAGCTTTGTATGTATTGATTTAATGTATTCTCCAGTTTTTCAAAAGCTGAAATTATTTCATTGATGGAATTGTAGTTAATAATTGCAGATTGAGATGATGAAGGTGGACAGTCATTTATAGATGAATATTTGGGAACAATTCTTCCTGGTGGCCAGGGAGGTACTTCATGTGATTTTCTTGGCAATAATTTTGTGGGTGATGCTCCAAACTTAATCCAACTTTTTTATTGGCCCTTTGAATATCTTCATCCTTGAAATTATCAGCACAAATTCTAGCTTTTCCATTCTCAACTTTGCTTTTAAAGTTAGGAGAGTAGCGATATTTAAACACAATCTGGATGCAATAGAAAATTACTTAGCAATTAATATGTCAAAGTCGTAAGTGAGTTAATAAATGGCTAACACTAGAATACACTAGGGCACGAAATAAACAGTGAAAACTCATGACATCACATACAGCAGTAGCCTACACCATATTTCTGAAATGGAAGAATAAACTTTGCCCTTGCTTTGGATAGCCAAAATAAAATACGGTAAAATTGCGGATACCGAAAAAAACGTGATGAAACTTTTGTGTCCATTCTTTTAGAGGCATTCCAAATTTCCTTTTCTTACCATCCGGGACACGATGCTTGCTTGGAACCATAATTACCTCTGTACCGGTAACTAAAAAGCGAATGTTACCGTACCAGCACCGGAGTTACCAGTAGCTTAGGATAGAATTCTAGACTACCTTTTCTGCATATACAGTCCATATTTGAGTTTAATAATAATAGTTTGTCTTTTTATTTTAGTTTTCTATATCTTGCCAACTTTGCGCAACTTGAAATGTGTAAACATGGCCTGAAAACAATCACACATTACCGGTACCTGTATCAAACTGCCTGATTCGGCTGTCCAGCAGACGACAGGGGTGTAAAACCCACGCAAACACCAGATGTCGCTGTCAACAACTCGGTGTCAAAGTCCTTATATACCTAAGTTGCGCAACAATGGAAATTGGCCGCCATTTTCGATCAATATCGCCTGCGAGTACGGCGGTTCTGCGTGATCCGCGGCTAGGCTGGTGCCTTCTGCTATAGAATTAAAGGCTGTTCGGCTCTAATTGCAGCGGGAATAGCAAAACAGTGCAACTATTGAAGCTATCATCAGATGCAGAGAAGGAGGAAATGGGAAAATAACTGTAGGCGACGTAAAGGCTGGAAATCTGGCCCAGGCAGTTCCTTGTGTGAGATTAGTCAAACGAATGGCCTAATGTCAAACTAACACCAGGAAAGATGGGTGGTACACAGTTTTAGGATGATGTCATATTTAATTATTTAGGGGAAAGTGGGGAAGGTTGGGACACTTTTTTTCTTTTGCATATTTTGAGCCCTTAATTCTGCATATTCCCTTACGTTGGCGGGACTAATGCATAGAGGGGTAAATGTAGTTTACATTCAGCGAATAAGAAATTTTCTTGCGACACACATCTTACTACCAAAATGCTTTGAAAAACGTCTGTCAAGTGTCCCACTGTACCCCACTTGTGGGGCACATTCGGACAGACCCTGGAGCCCCATGGGTCAGTCCGTCAAAATTCAACGAAGTATGCCCTTAAAAATAAGCAATTAATCAGCATAATCGTCTAAAGAACAGGGAGACTTCAAATTTGAAGCTTTAATATTTTTAAAATCAATGTTCAACTGAAATAGTTCAGATATCAGACAAAAAGTTTCGCAAACAAATTTGATTATTTCTTCCCTCGAATCTAAATCTGGAAATATTATTGATTCTCGAATATATTCCATATTGGGCCATGGGTCAAAAGAAACCATAATATTACACTTAATATACCGCATATCTAGGTCTCTAAGCACTTATTGTATCAAACAATGTCGAATTGTGCACTGTAGGGCAAGTCCCACTGTGCCCCGGTCCATTGTTCCTCATAGGCAACAAATATTTTCAGACTATCCCACAGCGAAATCTGGAAGGCACATCCACTCGCCAACGTTATGAATATTCTACAGTGGACTAAAGCTGAAAAATATCAGACGGTGGTTTGTCATGTTGGAAAGTCCAATGTAGAAAAAAGAAAAAACTGGAACGGTGAAATTTTAGTTTCAACCTTCCAAAACCAATTTCACTTCATAGCTTGCGCCGCACTACCCTTCCGTTGTCCGTTCGCGGGGACGTTGTAACTCACCAAAGGGCGGATTGAAACATCGAACCGCGGACAGGATTGCGGATATAGTATCAGTGTGAGAGCTGATTTTCCACTGTGCCCCATGTCCCAACGTGCCCCACTTTCCCCTATGTCACGTTGCCGATTCGACTCATTTAAGTTAGCTCTGACCCCAGGAAAGTTGAGTTAAATTAGTAAGATTTTCTAAATGCTGGCTTCAGATGTCAGGTCAGCAGGTTAGGAAAACTGTTTTCAAATCTTCCTAAGTAATGCAAAGTCAGAACATTGCATTGAATGTATCAGATTTATTGTCACGATTGTTTAAAGCACTGCAGTAACAAAAATTTATAGTAATTAGCAGCAATATGAGTAGACAATTCGGAGCTTAGTGGAAATAATGAATTTCTGAACTGAATGCGTGTTTCGTTAAGTCACTGTCAATTATATTTTGTGTTAAAAATGGGATGCTGAACGCTTGTTATTTCGAAAGTACGTTCATTGTGTAACCTACAACTCATTCCTTTTTCAGACTCACTTTTGAAGAATACCAATTTGAACCGAAGAGTACGGATAAATGGAAAAAATTAAAATAAAAGGGAATGACAATATTCGATGTGCCAAATCCATCAAAAAATTCAAATCATCAAGACCTGTATTAACTAAAATATTGACTGAGATGAAGTTTCAAAAAATAACAATAGGCCTACAGTGAGTTGTGAATGCCAAAGTAAACTCTAATTGCCAGTTTGAATGTCTCGTGAATCATTTCTTAAACGTTTTGGGTTTGATTGAAACAGCCGACTCCAGGACGAACCAGTTGTGTCAGAAACTTATAATGTTGGGTCATATAAAAAAGCACAAAAATGTGAGAATGCTTTTTGAAAATTTGGAGGGGGGGATTTCCCTCTAATCGTTTTTGCGATATGAAACAACATAACACTTTCATTATAACACGGGGGTGCTATTTTTTTGCGTTTTTAATCAGCCACTCGTATGTAGTCGCCATCGCTTGGCTGACATGGGCAGTTCAGAGCTCGTGATGGAACTAAGATGAGGAAGGTCGGAATGAAATATGGGGCTAACCGTCACTTGGTACACATACTGCTGAAGTTTTAATTATTGTACCTTTTTCATGTCTTTGTTATTTAATTGTTAAAATTTTAATTGTTGATCAATCGAATAGCACTTCTTTTCTATGTCTTTCATATTAAGGTATTTACATGCTATTCTTGATCAATTGAATGGTCTTTTTCTCATGTCTTTGTTATTTGATAGTTGATATGAAGTATCATTTCTTTTTATTGGTTAATTAAATTATTTCCAAATTCTAGACTATTAGTTTGTTTGTAATGGTTTCATGAATCATACTGTAACACCAAAGATTTAAATAAAAATGTTCACTATTCCTATGATAATCATTGCTCGCTTTGTTTTGTAGACACGATTCCCAAGATGTGAATTATTGAATTTTTCTATTGATTGATCCTCTTGTGTGAGTCAGAAACATTTTCAAAACCCGACCTGCTAAAACTTATTGATAAGTACATTATAAGTATTATCATTCTTGGAGTGCAAGGTTGCAAAAATCCCAAACATATGTATAAAGTTCATGCAATTTTTAAACATTTTCAGATCATGACAAACCTATGAATAGAATTCCTCTTGCCCTATCCAATGTGTTTCTGTGTAATGTGTATGTCCACTGGGTTGCACTTTATTTTATTTGTTATTCACGCTCAGACACATCCTCATCACATTAATTTTTTTGTCCCTGATCCACTTTGTGTATATAGCCAATTTATTTATTTTTTTCTGATTATTATCGTCCGAACCCCCATTGAATTCAGGTATCAGTTAGGTATAATTTTCCATCACATCCCCTCATTTTGTTCACAAATTTATTGTAAAAATATTATCTAAATAGTTCAAGTTTTGCCATTGGTCATCTCTCAGGGTTAAACTTAATATTGATCACTTCGAATAGATAGACTAGAATAGATATTCAAGAATGAAAAAATTCGAAATTGTTTTTTGCGTTTTTCTCAAAATTGTGGCTGTGGCTATTTTATTGATGACTGTATTTTTTTGGTTGACAAAATAATAAAATCTTTCTCCTCATTGTACTGCCATTGGTAAGGACGTTTACAATTCAGTTATGCAGCTGGAGCCTGGAGTGTCTAAAAAGGGCGAATTTCTAATGTAACATTGACATCAATATTTAGCTATAGTCGCCTTCACTGTCGAAAAATTTAGTTAGTTTTAGTCATTTAGGCCTGTTGTAGTGTGAAACTGTGTTTGTCTACTATCCTAATGGAAACATCATCACGGAGGTCTTGTCACGCCATCGGGACGCTTCGGTTGTCAGTAAATTCCGGACCACCGGGACGCCAGACGTCAAATCCGGGACTGTCCCTGCCATTCCCGGGACGGTTGGTAGCCCTAGCATCAGCAGATCTTGAATAGTTTCAAGATTTTGCCTACTTTCCCGATTTTCCGTAGGCTATATGTGTGTGTGTTGACTTGCATTGCCTATATATTTGTTTTAGTGTTACGAAAAACCGAAATAAACTTTACTTTACTAACCGTGCGTTGCGTCTATATTATGTTTGTTACCGAGCGGCGTGGGGTCTTATTGTAAATGCCCCGTATTGGGTTCGATACTGATTGAGACATCCTATCGGATTTCTGCGCCCTCGGAATATAACTACTGATTTAAATCTGCCCCAATAGCCATTTAAAACTACTAAAATTAGGCTTGTTTGCGTTACACTACTCGAGCCGAATGATCGAAAATGGCGTCCATATGACGCCATAATGGGACAAGTTAGTTGCACGGGGTTGCTCGGTGTCATGCAAAAAAGCGAGAGCTTCCAGACTAGTTATATAATGGCTATGCTGTAACTGTGTGCCATATTTGTACACATACTTCGGGAGCACCGACATATCTGCATAGACAGTTTTTAATACATACTGACATACTCAACACGCAATTTATTATTTTTAAAAGATATTTATCCTTCTGTTAATTTTTACTTTGGTCGCCCCTGGCCACCCATGCAGTAAGAGCAATTTGTTGAGGGTTGAGGGTTTTATTTTGTATTGATTAATAGGTCATATTTTAAAATTCTTTTGAGAATCGGAGAATAATATTATCTGTTGATCTATGTTTACATTTGACGCCAAAGATCTTCGGTTTATCGCAATATCATTGATGGATGGGGCAGAATAAACATTACTGTACGTTAATTTCACAACATATCTGTATATTGCTGTATCTTTCAAATAATTGAAATTTGAATTTATATTTTCATTATTTCAAGACATTTAAATTAAAGCATATACAGATATACCGGTACTGTATCAGATTGAATAAGTCATTATTACTGTATTGACTAGAGTTAGAGTGTTTTAAAAGTATAACAGCTTTAAAGTTAGGCTTATCATAAATCTGAAACAAAAAACCGGGACGGTGCAATTTGGCAAACATTCGGTCGATTGCCAGTCTTTGTAATATTGAAACGTCTACCATGTCATTAAGGGTATATACGGCTGTAAATCTCTACTGATCATTGAATTAGGAAAAACATAAAAAAATAGTTTGTACGAGTATTATTTATTTAGACCAAAAGTATTGTCCGCAGATGGAACCCTTCTCAAAAATTCATGTTCTGATTTTTTCATAAAACTGATAACAAGAGACATCACCATTAAATTTGCAGGTCACGAGTGCTTTTATATATTCTTCTGGCATTCTGAACCTGCTTTCGGATCAAAAAATTTTAACAATGGAG